CAACGAAGAAGGTCAGCACAGCAGCTACCACCGATGTCCTCGTTATGGCTCGGCTTCCTTCAAGTAGGCTGCTTCTGGATCACTCGCCCCGGAATTGTCAATGATACGATCACATGCGGGTACGTAGCGGGAGATGATGTGGGTGCGCTTATTAATGTCACTGTTTATGATTTATAAATGTTTATTTCAATATCTTATGTCTCACATGCGCACACAACACACACTCACTCGTTCTCGCTCGCACACAATCAGTTCACGCGAAACGCGATAGCACGTTCGCGTATTCGTCGCACACGGTGTCACGGAAGTGACGTCGGTCAGTTCGCGCGACCGTTTTATCTCGCGACGAAGTTGTTGGGAACCCGTTTTCCAACGCGCGGAACGTTGTCGGCCGATCCGCGTCGCGTACTTCGGAATTCTCCGAAATAACGTCGTATCATTAGATACGACGTTCGATCAGAGAATACACGCTATGCACCTTGTGCATTCACAACAAGCGTGTCTCGGGCGGAAATAAACAATTTGATTCGCGTTCACTCGCGACTTTAACGAAACGCGGGATAATTACTTCGCGTACGGGACTTATCCCTCCTTCGGGACTCGCGACAGCGTTCCCGATTCTATTACGGACGTGGAAAGACGCTGCTGTTACCGGGCGAACGGCTTTTATAATCCCCCACTTCGCTAACGCCTTCCCACTCTCATGCGTTCCCCTTCTTTCCACAATTCCGGAAAGAAAGGTGCGTCTTAGCTTCCAGATTCGTTTTATCCACAATTCGTAGATTCCTTCTAGAAGCTTCTCGAACCTTCTAGAAGGAATTGTGGCTTATCCACTTTACAATTCAATCTATACTCTATTGTGGGTCTTTTATACCCTGATTGACATAACTTTCAATAAACTCTTTTCCTTTCCAGGTATTACTTGGAAATGTGGATCAATCTCTGGTAAGTATCGAAATTAACTGTTTTGTGGTAAAATCATAATAATAATCATAATCCTTTTCTCATTTCAGGACCCTTCCAAGCTACCATGAAAATAGGTAAGTAACTAAACTCAAATTTCTATTCTTTTTTAATAATGACTTTTTGTTTTTTAGGAAACGAATCTGGATTTGTGGGTTTTATCAATCTTCTTGCGTAAGTAATAATAACCTTTATTTATCAATCATGCATACTTCATTCATTCCTCTACATTAAATGTAACAAAAATATAATATCGCATGCCCAAACGGGTCTTTACATTATGTTATGAAAATAAAATAAAATATCACACTGATTTTAGATTGCACATAATTCGTGCCGGACATGTGGTTTTATCTACAAAAATAATAATAATAATCTACAAAAATAATAATAATAATCCTCGTAGTGGGTTACGCTGGAATTTTAACATCGTTTCTTAAAATAAATGATTTATCTACGGTTTTCGCGCAATATAATTTCATGCATCTAATCAAAATAAAATAATTGACTAGCGACCCGACTAGTAACAAAACAAAAATATATCAAAATAAAATATATACTGAAAATAAATCATATGACGACAATCTCGTTAGTTATTGTTCATAATTGGACTGGTCCGATCACTCGTTTGTTGTTCCTCGGTGTTTTCTTCCTCCTTCCGGGCCTCCTCCGATATAAATGCGCTGAGCATCTCCACAGCGCACTGCGCTTTTCCGAAGATCTCCTCTTCGGTATTTCTCTTCGGTGTTTGTTCGTGCGTTATTGGTTCGGCCACAACTTCGACCTCTGTAGCGACCGATGGAGCCGGTTCCAACGGAGCTTCCGGTTCCAGGGTATGGATGGCGCGTCCGGACAGCAAACAACTAGGCAAAAATAGTTACCAGAAACTGTTAATTTAGAGAAAGATTATTCAACTGATCCTAATGCTAATAATGATGATGAAACTATAAATGCAACTTTCTGTGATAACGCTGTATTTGTAATATCATTTGTTTCGCTTCAGTTGGTGGCTGAAAATAGTATTGCATGGAAAAATGAAAGACTATCGTCCGTTAATTATTGCTGTCCAATAAAATTTCAATTCGTAAAAGAAAGTAATAAGATTGTACTTAACAAATACAAATTTTATTCAGATATCTTTGAGAAACTGGAGTCCTCATGTATCACAGTAAAAAATATAACATTTAATATATCGTTCAACATCAAAGGCACAATGATCGATGGCAAATAACATTTTAACCGGTCAAAAATCCTCGAATTGTTGCAACATTTGTGGAGTAAGTCCAAAAAATGTTAATAATATATCGTACATTAAAAGTCTTCCATGTACTACGGATAATTATAAATTTGGTTTCTCTACATTGCATTGTTGGATCCGTTTTATGGAATATTTATTACACATTAGTTACAATTTAGATTTTAAAATAGGCTACGCAAGGGGAGACAATAAAATTTTAAAAGCCGAAAGAAAAAAAAAGATCCAAAATATGTTAAAATCGAAATTGTCATTAACTGTTGACGTTGTAAAACAAGGCTCAGGGACAACAAACACTAGGAATGTTGCACGGTCCTTTTTCGCACATGCTGAAAGTGTAGCAGAAATTACAGGATTAAATACAGACGTGATAAAACGACTGGGAAACATTTTGCAGGTATTAGCATGTGGCAAAGATATAAATTTTGAAAAATTTGGTCGATACTGTTTAGATACCGCAAAACTATGCCTCGACTTATATAATTGGTACTGTATGCCACCATCAGTACATAAGGTTTTACTACATGGTAGTGATATCATTCAACATTTAGATTTGCCAATTGGTTGTCTATCAGAAGAAGCGCAAGAAGCAAGTAATAAAATTTTTAGAAAAGCTCGAGCTTGCCACAGTAGGATGAAATTAAGAAAATGCACTAACGAGGATATAATGCATTATCTTTTGATTTTATCTGATCCTGTAATTAGTAATATTCGAGTAAAGCAAAAGAAAGCACCGAAAGAATTTTCACCTAAAATGAAAGATCTCTTAATTAAGTCTTAAAATAAGTACATAAGAGATCTTTTATTTAAGGATTGCATAAAATATAAAACTATAAGTGCATGCGTGTGCGTGTATGCGAATAAAACACAAAAAAATATAAAAAATAAAAAACAACAAAAAACACAAAAAATTAAAAAAAAACAAAAAAGTACAAAAAAACCAAAAACCCTTTTAATGGCAGATACCTTGGCGCGGTAAAAGGGCTTAAGCATTGCTTTGTTATACATAAACAGTAACGAAGCTATGTAACTAAAATTCTGCCGACTATATAAATTAACAATATTCTCTAGTTAACAATATAATATTACAAACTGTGAAAAACATTTAAAAATAATCTAATATTTACTAACATTTCTGTAAATCTATTGAATACTGTATAATTTCAATATTTTTTATTTTTATATTTAATGTCATTTTGAGTT